TGCAGTTGACACATAGTTAACTCAGCTTCGGGTAACCTGCAACAGGTTGGCAGTACCATTTGCCATCATGACAGTTCTTTGCTCCAACCTCTTGGTAAAAGTGGAGTCTGGCAAATGCTGAGAATTTCTGCCTATTCCACTTTTAGCTGCTTTGGGGTTGGTTTTGTTTCATTTCAGTGACTGCTGTCAGCTGGCTTCAGCCAGACCAGATCATAACCACACAGACTGTGATCAAGGAAAGACTTTTAACGGTTCTGTTTCTGACTCAGTTATAAACAGAAATGCATTTCTGAATTCACAAATCCTGCATTTTTGGGTCTGTATCACCTGTTCCTGGCCCAGTTAGACCTGAGAACTGACTGCTACGTAGAGCCCGTCTGCCGCCATCCTGTGCCCTTCCCCGTGGGAGGTGAAAGGGAAGAAACCTCTCAGGTGTGCAGCTCTCACCTACGTGCATTATAAACACCAATTCCTTTAAAGGAACATGGGCTTAAAATAAGGTTTTCCAAGAATAGTGTCCCCAGGACAGCAGTGTTGCTCACAGAGCAGCCCCTACAGCCAGGTGGGCTGTAGAGCGTGAGGCACAGACGGCCGTGGCCTGGTGGCTGGTTTCCTGATCTCCTGTATCCTGTTTCAGGTTCAAGGTGTTTGCAGATTATGAAGCATATTTGGCTTGCCAGGCCCAGGTGGACCAGCTGTACCAGGTAAGGTTCTCAGACCCCTGAGTTGGTAGGGGCGGCACTGGTGGGGGAGCCTCGGGGCGCATCTGCATCCTGCTGCCTAGGATGCTCCTGGGAGGTCACAGTTCAGCCTGTGGCCCAGAGCAGGCACCCGCTGCTTCTTTATCCCCTCCCACTCAGGCCGTCTTAGCCGTCCCTCTGCTCTTATCTGCCACGCTGGAGCCTTCTGACTCCTTGGGGTCAGGCTGCCATCCACCTGGCACGTTTCCCCTACAGAGGGGGCGGAGACGGGCTGTTCCCTAGTCTGATCACCCGTGTTGCTCACAGAGCAGCCCCTACAGCCAGGTGGGCTCCAGAGCATGAGGCACAGACGGCCATGGCTTGGTTTCCTAATCTCCTGTATCCTGTTTCAGGTTCAAGGTGTTTGCAGATTATGAAGCATATTTGGCTTGCCAGGCCCAGGTGGACCAGCTGTACCAGGTAAGGTTCTCAGACCCCTGAGTTGGTAGGGGCGGCACTGGTGGGGGAGCCTCGGGGCGCATCTGCATCCTGCTGCCTAGGATGCTCCTGGGAGGTCACAGTTCAGCCTGTGGCCCAGAGCAGGCACCCGCTGCTTCTTTATCCCCTCCCACTCAGGCCGTCTTAGCCGTCCCTCTGCTCTTATCTGCCACGCTGGAGCCTTCTGACTCCTTGGGGTCAGGCTGCCATCCACCTGGCACGTTTCCCCTACAGAGGGGGCGGAGACGGGCTGTTCCCTAGTCTGATCACCCCACGTGAGGAATGGGTGCTCAGCCCAAGAGGAAGGACGGGTCTGGTGGGCTGAGCACACAGAAAGCATGTCTAAAATTAGTGTGAACACTTGCTTGGAAAGGTAAAAGCTTCCATCAGTAGAGCGAGGAGCTTATAGCTGTGAGGAGCACTTTCTGAGGCAGGGACGTTGGAGCCAGCTTCCCACTTGATGGAGGACAAGGAGAGGACCCGCATCCCAGGTTTGTGTGTGAAGCGTGTGCCTGGCTATAGCAGCCCCATGGGCCTGGTGTGTCCACCCTGGTGTGCCACGTGAGGAATGGGTGCTCAGCCCAAGAGGAAGGACAGGTCTGGTGGGCAGTGCACACAGAAAGCATGTCTAAAATGAGAGTGTGAACACTTGCTTTGAAAGGTAAAAGCTTCCATCAGTAGAGCGAGGGACTTATAGCTGTGAGGAGCAGTTTCTGAGGCAGGGACGTTGGAGCCAGCTTCCCACTTGATGGAGAAGGACAAGGAGAGGACCCGCATCCCAGGTTTCTGTGTGAAGCGTGTGCCTGGCTATAGCAGCCCCATGGGCCTGGTGTGTCCACCCTGGTGTGGCTGTAAAGGAGTCCATGCAGGATCTCATGGTGGGAAGGCTCAGGCCCTAAACTGGGGAAGTGAAGGAGGATGTGTCTAGGTGCCTGCTTCCCTCCCTTTTCTGGGATTTTGTGGGTGTCCCACCTGTGCACCCCTCGGAGGATGGCAGTGCGAGGGGACTGCAGCATTTTGGTTCAGTGAGTTTATTTCCCTAAATTGTTTAGCAGGTTCTTGGATGAGGCCTCGGATTTGTACATCTGATTTGTTGCCAGTCTTTGCCCCTGCCATTAGGAAACTGCTGTCTGTGCCCACACAACTCCTGCAAAAGAACAGGATGGGGCCTGGAATATGGAGTGACGGGCAGGGCTCTGGGAGGAACCTTTGCTTCCCTTAAACTGGGCCTCAAGGAAAGTGGCCCTTTCAGGGAGGCCTCTCCGGGTGTGGCTGCAGTCTGGGGGCAGCTGCCAGGCTCTGGCCAGAAGACCACCTGGCCATCTCCCTGGGGAACTGGATCCGCCTGGTAGCAAATACTCACCTGGTAGTATTTGTTTTTGTTGTGTGGGCTGTGCCCCAGTGGGATGTGGAGCATTTTATCTAGTCATTTGGCAGCTTTTCTGGTAGTTGGGGCCCCTCTCCAGTGAGCTAGGACGGCCATTTTCTCCTCTCCCATCACACCGCCCAGAGTGAGCCATGACCTCACCTGGAAACATCCTGAAGTCCTGGAAGCACAGGCTCTCTTGTGCCCAAGGTTACTCAGTCCTCCTTCTCTCTGCAGAACCCCAAGGAGTGGACCAAGAAGGTCATCAGGAACATTGCCTGCTCGGGCAAGTTCTCCAGTGACCGGACCATCACAGAGTATGCCCGGGACATCTGGGGTGTGGAGCCCTCTGACCTACAGATCCCGACCCCCCATGTCCCCAAGGACTAGGAGCTGGCACAGTGGGGACCAGTAGGGTTTTGTTTTCTTGTTGACTCCGCTCCTCATGCCATTTTCCAAGCTGTCCCTGTTTTCTTCAGTGCTGTGTTTCAGGGAAGGGCTTGGGGATCATGGTGTGGCTTGGAGTGGGGGTTGGGGAATGGATAGACGGAAGGGAAGGTGCTAAAAGTGAGATGCCGTCTGGTTTCTCCCAGGAAAGCAGAGCTCATAGCACTGCCCAGTTGGCCCCACAGCTTCAGCCCATCTGCCCCCTTGGCCCTCCCACCCCACAGACATGGGTGAAGCCACCTAGTGGGCTCCTCCGAGACCTTGCACACCTTGCTGTGAGCTTGTGTTCAGTTTGGAGCCTCTAGAGTCTGGGGTCTGGCAAGCAGCAATGGTGAAACCTGGAGAAGTGTTTCTGCAGGACCTGGGCTGGCCGACAGCGGAACCAGCTCTGCCTCCCGGTCAGGCTGGGAGGGTCCAGTACTCCCAGGCATCTTTACAGCTGCCCTGTGGTTACTCCAGCCAGGGCTTCCAGATGGATCAGATAAAGGGGCCTCAGGATGACTATGGGTGACATTGGGGAGGACACCCGTGTCCAGCATCTAGGGGGCCTTGATTGGGATAAGGCTGGCTGATGCAGTTAGCTTGGTTCTGCTTTTTCCAAAAAAAATTTAAGTTCACAAGGAAATGAAACTAGCTGAAGCCTTTCCTTGGTTAGTAACTAAAAACTGTGCTTTTGAAATTTCATGTCAGGGAAGGCAGTTCTGGGATGTTTCTGTCCGGCTGTGGGGGCCTGGGGCAGGGTTGCTGCCCCTGCTGAGGGAGGCTGAATGCCCAGCCCCTGCTGCAGATCTGCACCCTGCCTGTCCTGGAGAGTGCACTTCCGCTCTCCTTTGCCACCAGTGCCACAAGCTGGTCTGGAAAAGGACCAAGTGTGTCCAGAGGGCAGCCCACTTTCCACTCTGCCCAGATAGCAGGCTGGTGCCAGGACAGGCAGGTGAGCACCTCAGCTGCACAGAGAAAGCCAGGAGCAGGTGGCACCCTTCACTGCGGGTTGTTGGCAACTTTGGATGGAAGCGCCCTTCCTGAGGCTCTGCCTCCTTGCATGCTGGGCCTGGGCATCACAGGCTCTGCCTCCTTGCATGCTGGGTCAGGGCATCACAGGCTCTGCCCTCATCCTGGGTCCTGACTGCTCGCAGAACCAGGCCATGGAGGACTTGCTCAAGTCCACACTTCATCAGAGCCACTGAGGCCTGTGGTCATACCCCCAACACCCTCCGTTGCCCTGTCCCTTAGGCTGTATGCGACCATCACTGTGCCACTTGCTGTTATTGCCTCGTGTGAGAAACTGATTAAAACTTCCTGCCTACCCTTGGTTGGCCTGGCCTCGGTATTTCACTCGGGGTCAGCTTGGGGCAGGCTTCAGTCCTCCCTCCTAAAGAGGAGATGGGCTAAATTACAGCTGTTGTCCTGGGATTGAAGACAGAAAGTTCTCTCATCCGATGATGTGAGACTTGGAGCTGGGTATGCCTAAACTGCCAGCTCTTCCAAGAACCGTGAAATCTGGTCACTTGGTAAACTGTCCTCTGGGCATTGGCTTTTTGTGCGGAATTGTATTGGCTTCTTTTGCACCTGTCTTCTGCCACCCACCCTGGCAGGTAGAATGCCCAAAAATATTTTCTCCAAAATTGTATAGCTGCAAGTTGAATAAAAAACCAGGAGGGGTGTAAACTTGGGGCTCAGTGTTACCCAAAGACCCTGAGAAGTATGGGACCCTGGAGCATGGTAGACCCTTGCTGGGGGCAGTGGTGTTGAGCCTCTCCTGTAGGTGGGGATGTGCCCTGGGAATGCACGCTCCCATCCTTGTCCTGTGGCTCCCAGGACACACGTGTGTAACTGCAGTTTATAGCTATGCATATCGACATCTCTTCTTTTTTTTTAAGGATTGGTCCTGACCATACATTGATTTTGTAACCCAGGGTCAGGGCTTACCCACAGTTGAAGCTTAGTGGCTTGGACCAAGGTAATAAGCTAAGAAGCCATCAAATAGGGTCCTTTGGACCTGACCGAGGTGATGGCCAGTGGCTGCCCACTCACTGCTCCTTTTTTTGTGCTTCCTCATCTTCAGTCGGCCTGTCAGGCACCTATAAAAACACTAACAGCTTGTATTTTTACTTTATATCCTATCTCATTCCCCTTAGAAAAGGACCTGCGGCCTTTCACATAGACAAAAGGTAAAACAAACAAAAACATGAAGAACCCAGGCAGGACAGGCAGGTCTGAGATAATATGAGCAGATCACACCCACTTCCTTGGCTGAGAACTTGACTTTGAGTCTCAGGGACAAAGCCAGAAGAGCACTCCAGCCTCATGAAAGGGCTGTCCAGCCCAGGGGGCACGTGGTGTTTAGTGGTTCTCGGAGCCTCTGACGCAGAGCAGTTACACAGAAAGATGCTACTGGACCAGGTCCAGGTGTCCCAACTCTCACCTGGGACAACGGTGCCTTACAGGCAGTGCTCACACCTGGAAAAAACATGGACTTCAGGACAAGAAAGAGTCTGTTCACGTTTCAATCCCAGTTTAAGAAAAGTGTGCATTCCCAGATGTGAGAAGCGCCATGGGCAGTTCTAAAGTGTCCCAGAAAGGGGGTGTCACCTGCTTTGGCCTCTGGGCCCCCAGCAAACCCCAGATGCTAACACTGGCCCTAATGCCTTGGAGGACAGGCAGGCAGGTGAGAATTTCTGACCTGCTGAGACTGCTCAGTTCCAGAGCCTAGGACCAAGGGGAGGAGAGCCAGCCATCAGGAGAGGCTGTGTCCCAGGTGGGCTTCCCTACACTGAGCTGGGACACACCTGAGGGGGCAGCTCAAGGCCCCATTCTTACTAAGTTCTCTAAGAGGTCACCAGTGCCAGGGGAGAGGAGAAGCTGGTTTGACAAAAAGCCAAACAAGACAAGAACCACCATCAGTTGAGTGATGGTGGCGATGGTCATAGGCTAGACTCAAGTCCCTGCACTCCAGCAGCTGCCCTGTCAATAGTCAGGGGTTCATCTAGGGTCCATGGAGAAACCCCAGTGCCCATCCTCTGACATGGCCATGTCCAGTAAGCTTGCTAAGCATGAGGTTGAAAGGGTCACCTATGTAGGCCTATATTTTAGGAAAATACCATCTGCCACATCTGGAGAAGGCCCCTCCCTGGAAGGGCCTTGCCCACAGGCACCCCTCCACCCATGTGGCCAGGCTCTGTGAGTGGCCTGGGATGGGGGCAGGTTCTGGGTGGGGCTAGAGGCGGAACTGAGAAGGCAAGACAGACCACCACCAGATTTTATTAAATAAATGCTCAGTCTAGGGCCAGGTTAGGTGGGCAGAAAGAAGAGGAAATGCAGATCACAGGCACCTCTGTGAGTGGTGGGACCCGCCTAGGGAGGCAGGGACATCAAAGAAGGCAAGCGGGGTATGTAGGGCAAGAGGGATGATGGAACCATTAGAGTCCGTTCTGCATGTGCTGGGAAGGGACAGGGCCCAAGGATCCCACATTCTCATGGGTGGTGCTGGAAAGCTCAGTATGGTCCCAAGACCTCAGACCTCCTGCCCTGTTCTCCATGCCCAGCTCAGAAGTGTGGGACTGACCGGCCGGTGGCTGGCCTGCTGTGTTACTCTTTCCAAGAGCTCAGGTTGCGTGGCAGCAAGGAGGAGAGAGGGCCACATGCCTGCCACTCACATTTTCCACAAAAATCCATGCTTCTGGCCACCAGTCTGCCAGAGCCTCTTCTGCCTGCCATAGCTGGCATCCAAGTCCTCTCTCCAGGTGCACCGCAGACGCTGGCACCCGGTCTCCGGGGTGCTGGGTTGGTCAGAGGAATGGGGAGGAGGGCAGAGGTCTTCAAGCTCCTTCAGGCAGTGAGCTCAGTGCTGAAGCTCAGGTTCCGACTTCCCCAGGAATTCCCTAGGCCAGAGGACAACGGTCAGCCAAACCTGAGATCCCGCCTCCCCCCGTCCTCACAGCCCATCTAAAGAGCAGAAGCCTGGAGAACAGGCAGGGCACCAATGGCATCACAGTCAGTGACACGCAAGAAGAGAGACTAGCTTATGAGGTCTTCTTAAACTTCGGAGCTGTACTCTGGTCTAAGTTTTCTGTAATGATAGGGAAAAATTACAACCTCAGAGCAAATCCATACTCTTTCAGCTCATTGGTCCCTCTCAATAACCCAGGTCCGTGTGGCAAGGAATGGCAAACTGCGACAGAAACGTAGCTTTGCCTCTGGAACTCTCAAGGCAGCCAGAGGAGAACTCACGTGTGAAGTACAGTTACACACGGGATGAAACCCGCTGACGGCTGATTTGGGTGCCCCTAGGCTCAGAAGCCCAGGGAGGTGAACGCACAGCCAGGAGCACAGCCTCACTCCGAGAGGCAGCTGGGGACAAACATATTTTTGAGGAGCTGGTCCAGGCCAGAGCATCTGTGTACTGTGTATGTGGGGGCAGGACCTGTCGGGTACGTGGGAAGGGACCAAGGCCTCGGGTGTGTGTGGGGATGGGTGGGGGATAGTGCCTGTACATGGATGTCGTGCTAGACGCACCCCTGTGTGGGCCTGCACAACCTGTACCCGGGGAGATCTTGGGAATAGTCCAGGAGGGAGGGGCGATAAACACTCAGCTCCTCTACGTGGAAATAAAAAGCTCATCAATCCTCCCACTGAGGCAGCGTTGGTGGGTGAACCGCTGTGTCTGGCCTGCACTGGCGCCACCCAGGACGACATCCCTGGAGAGAAGAGAATCTCTCACCTCAGTATCCGAGGAAGCTCAGGGCTCTTGTAGATGTATTTGTGCCTGTAGCCGAGGTCTGAGTGAAAGGGCATAAACTGAACTTTGAAGTCTCGGAAGCTGCGAGACAGTGCAGCAATGTTGTAGAGCTGAGGAGGGAGAAACAGGTCAGTGCCCAGAGATGGCGGCCCCGTAGTGACCTGCCTGGTGGCCTTCCTTTCAACAGAGGCCCGTCAGAGGCGGCTGCCTCTGCACAGCAGCCCATGGCCCCTCAAACAGCCCAGGAGCCTGCCATGGCCAGGGCCAGGGTGCTGGCAGAGCCAGCCGAGGCGCAGCCCCTCGGCCTGCAATTTAAGAACCTACTTGTCCCCACACCTGTTTCTCAGACTGCCCCTTCCTTAGGTGAGGTGCATGAGCCAGCACCATGTGCTTTGATGATGTGGTGTAAGAGCCAGGAGCAGCCCTGAGGGCTCAGCCCTGGGGGCTGGGATGGGTCAGGTACCTCAGACTTTGCTGTGTGCCGGGTCAAGGCCAGTCAACAAGCTCTCTCAGGTTCTGTCCTGGCTCAGCCCCTCCCTCCTCCTACCGCCAGGACAGCCAGACTGTGTGCCCAGACTCGCCTTACCTCGGACCTGTTCACCCCCTCTAGGCTGCCCCTGCCCCTCTTTCTCACCATGGCCAGGCAATGCTGTCTCCTGCCTCACGCTCACCTACAAATTAATCCCGCTTTGTGGCAGCAAAGGTAAAGCAAATTCAGCAAAAGTACACACGGAGGCCCCGAGACTACATGGTACTCCTCTAGCATCGCTCCAATCCCAGAGCAGGAGAACAAATGAGAGAGTCTATGTCAACACTACTGACTGGGACTCCTGCGTTGAGGCTGGAGGAGCCTTGTCATCAAGGGGTCCTATCCTCCAGCCAGTAAATGGCAAGCCCTCCCGGCTGGGTCCCCTATAGTCAAGTCTCTGTCAGGCCAGGACCCTGTACTGGGACCTGGGAAACATTTGCTTATTTTTTATGCTTCCTCTTGTGGATGGCATTAGCTGTCTAGCCTGACCCTCACCCTGCCAGCAGCAGGCCCCTCCTGTACATCTGCCTGTGCCCAGTCCAGCTTGAACGTGGGCCTGAGAGATGTCTCCTGCACCAGGGGCTGCATGGACACCCACCTTTCTGCCAAGATGGAAGGGCACGACCGGATCATCCTCGGCGTGCAGGATGAGCAGAGAGCAGGAGATGTGCTTCACACTGTGGGGGGTGGGGGAGAAAGGACTAGACCAAGATCTCAGGAAGATGGCTGGGGTCTCCTGGCACCCTGGCCCCACCCTTGGCAGGGACCTAGGTTTAGGGAGTATTTCATCATGGTGTTTAACAGCTCTAATTCTGCTGGGCTTTTTACTAGCGAACTAAAAGCTGATTTCTCAGATGTTTCTATCAACATCTATTCTAGGTGTCCATCAAATCTGGAGATCAATTTATTCACCAAATCTGGCCTCTGCATAGTTTCTGAAAATTGAACATTATTTTCGCCAGTAGACATATTTTTTAAACGTTACAGAACAGTATTTACAAACTGAGTATTTTAGGGGGGCCAAGAAACTTATTGCAAAT